CGCTTTTGTTGGCTCTGTGTGTTCTGGGAGCAGATGATACTCAAAATGGTAATATTCCTGAGCCCGGGGAGAGTCTATTAGCTTCTTCTGCTGTTTTGGATTTTTTTTAGTGTCTTGGGTGGGATCATCTGCAAATAACAAGATCTAGTTACTGAAACAACCATCCCCATATACATTCAAGTAATAAATGAGGTGTCACATATGGCCAATGATAAGACAGAAAGGTGTCTCTCTCTCTCTCTCTCTCTCTCTCTCTATATATATATATATATATATATATATATATATATATATATATATTCGATGTTTCGGACCTCTATCGGCCATTTCTCTAGTCGTGAGAAAGAACAGATGGAGGAGGTTCAGAACGTCAACTTTGCTTGTCTGTAAAATAGAATAAAATGTAAGCCTTTACTGCAACAAGAAGACCTGTGGGTGTGTATATATATATATATATATATATATATATATTTTTTTTTTTTTTTTATTGGACTAACAACATCTTTTAATGGCAAGCTTTCAGGAGAACCTCCCTTTCTCAAGTCTAAAGCAACTCTGAGCAAGATGACACATAAAATTAAAAGTTGAGTTGTGATACAAGTGTTAAAGCGACATGAGTGAAGATAAGACACAGGTTTGATAGAGAACAGGCAGCATTCTTGCATAGAGAGAGAAAAAACCCAAAACATGCAAACAGTGCAGGAGATGATGAGAGTAAAAAAAAAATTACTAAAATTAAGAATGCATGAATTCCCAGCCAAGTGTTACAGGATATGCATGAAGGCCTATATCCAACATACAGACAGACGCGCACACACTCACACTTACACACATGTACATATACACAAGTAGTGCATATGTACAAGTATACACAAGTACATACAACAATATACTTATAGATAAAACCAAATGCCTGAATATATGTACATACACACATCCACACACAAGCACCAATACATGTACCTACACATACATAGACCCATATATATGTATATGTACATACATATGTATATGTATGCATATGTATATACACACTATATACATACATACACACATAGATAGATAGATAGATAGATGTAGCAAAAAGAACCGCACTCCAAGGTCTTTGTTGAAGTTTTCAAGTAAAACTTAACTTTTATTTAATCCATATAAAAGTGTTAACGTTTCAGCCCCCACACGAAGCTCTCATAAGGACAAATAATAAAATGCAAGTGTACACACATAAGAATATATACCCATAACCCTTAAACCAATTACACCTTAATTGTGTACTCACCGAGCCATGAAACAGCCTGCCCTACATTTGTGTAGTAATGTATCTCTGAGTGTGGTGTGCTCATGTACAGGGCCCCAAAAGGGGGAGTGACTAAGGAATACTAGGCAAGTACCCAGAGGATCTACATTACTGGACTAATACGGCTACAATCTCTACAATATATATATATATATATATATATATATATATAAATAAATAATCCAGTAGATCCTTGCACTCAGGGAAATCTCCTTTAAATACTGCGGGTGCTATAAGCCAAGGTCAATAGGTACAACACAGTAGAAAGATATCCTGCACTCACTGTCTTTTGAAGTTAAAATACCCTTCTTTATTTGGAAAAAGTTGAAATGCGGATATTTAAGACTGTTTTGGTGTGGTAGTTTTTCTTCTTTTAAATATAATCCCCTCCTTTACTGCGTTTATTACCTTTTATGTATTTAAATGTTACAATCATATCCCCCCTGTCTCATCTTTCCTCCAAGCTATACATGTTAAGATCCTTTAACCTTTCCTGGTAAGTTTTATACCGCAATCCATGAACCAGTTTAGAAGCCCTTCTCTGAACTCTCTCCAAAGTATCAACATCCTTCTGAAGATATGGTCTCCAGTACTGCTTACAATACTCCAAGTGAGGTCTCACCAGTGTTCTGTACAATGGCATTAGCACTTCCCTCTAATACCTCGCCCTATACAACCATGCATTCTGCTAGCATTTACTACTGCTCTATTACATTGTCTGCCTGCCTTTAAGTCATCTGAAATAATCACCCCTAAATCCCTTTCCACAAATGTTGAGGTTAGGACTGTATCAAATATTTTATACTCTGTCCTTAGATTTGTATGCCCAAAATGCATTATCTTGAAATTATCCATATTAAATTACCATTTTTTCTTGTTTACCATTTGCCTTATGTAGTAAACAAGGTAAACAGAGAAAGGTGGCACAACCTTTCTCGGTTTACCTTGTTTACTACTTTTGTGAGTAGGGTATAGAGGGAGACCTACTTTAGGTTTGCTGCCCCTTATATGCCATCCTTATAGTTTTAGTTTCTTTAGCGCCGTTTCCCCAACTCTGTACTTTCTAACCATTTGCCTTTTCCCTCCTGGAACATCAACCCTGTTGCAACTCTTTGTATCATCAGCAAAAAGACATACCTTACCATAAAGACCTTTTGGAATAACACTAATAAAAACATTAAAGAGGATGGGTCCAAGTACAGAACTATGAGGGACCCCTCTGGTAAGAAGACCTTGCTTGGAATATACTCCATTGACTACAAACCTATGTTACCTGTCACTTGGCCACTGTCTAACCCATTAAACAATATTGGAATCCAAACTCAAAGATTGCAGTTTATTGGCACTAATTCAGAACCACACAAACACATTCTCTATTGAAATCATGATCCCTGAGGTCCAGTGGGGAGCTGCTGTGATAACTCTGAGCACTGACTATAGAGCTCTATCCTGGGAAATGTCACAACCAGGTTCCCAGCATCAGAACAGGATGCATTAGGGAGATATGTAGCTAGTGCAGAATGATTCCTGCAGCTCACGCTCCTCAGTGTATCTTCGTTAGGCAAATAGCACTTCAAATGATCAATTCACTTGCAAAAAAGCAATTAGGAATTCAGTCTCTTTGACCTGATTTTGTCAATCCGGACAAAATCCAATGCTTAATGAATAACCCCATTAATATTAGGGAATAACTTAGCTAGGTTTCTCTACAAAGCACATAAAGAGAAGTATATGGTCAAAATATTACATTTTCAATATTCAATTTTGTCTTGAGTCAGAAAGCAGTTAATTGCTATCTAATGCAACTTTTAGAGCTTTTAGCTGACTAGTGTAAAGTATGATTTCATGGATTATTCGGATACTAAAGGAAATAAAAATTTGTTGTGTGTACAAACAGAAAGTCCTGGCTGTTTTATTTACCAAAATATTTCATAGTGAAAGTTTATGGTGTAGTGTAAGCACAATAAAACACAGTTACATGTCAGCTGTAACCAATACCTTTAGTGATTGTAGGAGGTATGGCAAAAGCAATAGTGATGGTACAAGTTATGGTATGAGAAGAATCACGCAAATCATTGACTGAACTTGCCACCTCAGACTGTTGTATAACATCATGCTTTTCAGACATTTTCTGACACTTCTCAAATGGACTTTGCTCTTTAGTATTTGTCTCAATCTTGAATTCAGCCTCGTCTCCATCTGATGAGCCACCTCCAGTTCCATAGCCAGACACCTCGCTGTGATCTGGGGTTAAAGATGTTACATGAGGAGTTCCAAAGTCAACATCAATCTCACTATCAGGGGCACCACTACTCAGAGCAAAACCTTCATTGGAAATTGGCCCTTTGGATGCATGTTCTGTATGAGACAACTGAATAACTGGAGGCCCCTTCATCGTGCTGATTACTGTTGCTTAGAGAAAACAAGGATGTTGCTGAAGGAGATGTTGTCCAGAATCCTAATGACAGAAAGCAATTAAACATTTGCTGTAACAATAAAATCAATCCAAAACATTCACATTGACACTGGGTATAATTAATCATACTATTCTAACGTGCAGAGAGCAGCCCATATAATGGCTATCAGCAGCCATGCAATCTTCCTATCAGCAGCCCGTACACCCTTGCACTCTTCTCATGTGCACATACATCAACCCTTATTCCTCTCCCTGAGTATATATAATAAGCCCCTGCACCCTCTTCTTACCCATTTTTGAGCAGCCCATACACCCACCCCACTTGTCGGTCTTATATCAAGAGCTCAGCTGTACCCTTGCACTATGATGAGAGAAAGAGTCATGGTTACAATATCATTCATTCCCTTCTCCTCGATATGCTTAAAAATCCCACTTACATCCAGGGGCGGACTGAGAACCCTCAGGGCCCTGCGCAAAATAAATCAAGGGCCCTCTTACAGGCCCCACCCATACTCTGCAGCAAGCACCACCCTTGTCCCGCCTCCATGCACCGCCTCCAGCCACACCCTACACAATCTTTAGACACATGGAACAATAAGCCCTTCGAGGCCCCAGTAGAGACTACAATTGTGTAACAAGCGCTTACCTTTCCCCGCCGGTCCCGCGCAGCGCCAGGTCCTCCTCCGATGCTTCCGGGGGGCGGCTCAGACATTCTGACGCAGGCCGCTCGGAACACGGCCACATTTATGACGCGGCGCATGCGCGCCGACGTCAGAGTAATAATGGCGCCAAAATTCAAACGTGGCCACGCTCCCGGACTTTTTGGGGGCGTGGCTACGAAATTAAAGCCATAGAACCCACACTATAAAAAGGGCTATCATGACACTTGTCAGATGCCCTAGTGTGGTTCTTGTTTAAAGTCCCCTGGTGCTATCTTTTCTTATTGTCCTTCCTGGTATTAGACCCTTGGCTATCCCTCTCTGACTATTCTGTGTTCTGGTTTCCCGTATCTTGGCTTGGATTATCGTGTGCCCGTCTTCTGTATTCCCTTGACCTCTGGCTATTTCTCTTGACTATTCTCAGACGCTAGTCTGGCCATTCTAAGGTCCGGTAACCGTCTTTCTGTGGGTTTTCACGCTGTGTGAAGGGGTTACTGTTGTGACTTTGGTCACTGTCGTGACATTACACTAGGGCCATGGACCCTGCAGGTGTTAACCCTCTCGGACCGGCACCTGATGACCGGTTTGAGGAACTGGACCATCGCATGGACCAGTTCGCTATTGCAGTACAAACCTTGCTTGCTCGTACTGCCCATCTCCAACTGGAGGAGCAAACTCCAGTACTCAGACCTCAGGAACAACCCATGGAAATGGTTACTATGGGTACTCCTAATCATGTTACCTCCCCTCTCCGTTACGGGGGTGATCCTAAAGGCTGCCGAGGTTTTTTGAATCAAGTCAGTATTTATTTTGAGCTTCATCCGAGAGCATACCCTACAGATAGGGCAAAGATAGGTTACATCATTACTTTATTGGTCGATAGGGCATTGACTTGGGCAAATCCTCTGTGGGAGAACGATAACCCGGTAGTGTTTAACTATGTAGAATTTGTCGCAGCTTTTAGGAGGGCTTTTGATCCTCCAGGGAGGAGAACTAATGCTGCCAAAACCTTGCTACGTATGAGACAGGGTTCTCGTTCTCTTGTTGATTACGCTTTAGAATTCCGTACCCATGCGGCTGAAGTTAGATGGAATGAACAAGTGTTTATTGACGTATTCATGAACGGGCTTTCAGATAAACTCCTAGATGAAGTTGCCACTAGAGACCTACCCAATGTGTTAGAGGAATTGATCACATATCTTTCCCACATTGATGAGCGTCTTAGACATAGGCAGAATACTAGAGACAGACCTCGACGGGTGCCAGAATGCTTAGCGTTAACCTATCCTTCATCCGAGACAACAACAGTCGCTCCTCCAGAACCAATGCAACTGGGAGTCACACGTTTGTCTGAGGATGAAAGACAATACCGCCGTAGGGAGGGACTATGCCTATACTGTGGCCGAAAGGGACACTCTCGTTCAACCTGTCCTAACCGGCCGGAAAACTCCCGCACCTAAGCCCTCATGGAGGACAGGCCTTGGGTGTAATGTGTATGTCCTCCTTTAATGATAAAAAAGATCATAGGCTTCTTCTACCTATTGTTATTGAGTGGGAAAAGAAAAAAGTGCCAACCATTGCCTTAATAGACTCTGGGGCGGCCGAAAATTTTATTGATCATAAATTCGGTCAGGAACATGCTTTCCCATTTCAGAATAGATCAACACCCTTGGCCGTTGAGGCCATGGATGGTAGACCATTATCTATCCCGTTTATCACACAAGAGACTCTTCCAGTGGTATTGTCCGTAGGTTCCCTGCATAAGGAGGTTATTATCCTGCAACAAGTCACTTCCCCCATCTTTCCGGTTATTCTTGGCTTTCCTTGGCTCTCTAAACATAACCCTTCTATAGATTGGGAGAAAAAGGAAATTGTGAAATGGAGTGAGACTTGCCGCAGAAAATGTATTACCCCTATTAAACACGTAGGTCTCCTTAATGTACCTAGTATGGAACCTTTAACCACTCTGATACCCAGACAATATTGGGATTTAAAAGCAGTTTTTGAGCCAAGAGAGGCAGAAAAATTACCTCCACACCGGTCCTATGACTGTCCCATTGACTTATTACCCGGCACTATGCCCCCTAGAGGCACAGTTTATCCCCTCTCGGTAGCCGAGAATAAGGTATTAGAGGAATATATCACGGAAAACTTAAGAAAGGGGTTTATCACTAAATCTTCCTCCCCTGCTGGCGCTGGGTTTTTTTTTTGTTTCCAAGAAGGAAGGGGACTTAAGGCCCTGTATTGATTATCGGGGTTTAAACAAAATAACTATACGTAACGCCTATCCTATTCCTCTAATCACAGAACTTTTCGATAGATTAAAAGGGGCGACTATTTTTACGAAATTGGATCTGAGGGGGGCATACAATCTAGTTAGGATTAAGAAAGGGCACGAATGGAAGACTGCTTTTAATACTCGCTATGGTCACTACGAGTATAGGGTCATGCCATTCGGGCTATGCAATGCCCCAGCAGTCTTTCAAGACTTCATTAATGATGTTTTAAGGGACTATTTACATATGTTTGTTATTGTCTACTTAGACGACATTCTAATCTACTCCAAGAATATTAAAGACCACCATACTCACGTTAGGTTGGTTCTTTCTAAACTCTTAGAAAATGGAATTTACTGTAAATTAGAAAAATGTCAATTTGATATAGACACTGTGCATTTTCTGGGTTACATAATTTCAGGGTCTGGATTACAAATGGATAAAAAAAAAACTAGAAGCTATCCTTAATTGGCCCTTGCCCGTTGGACTCAAGGCTATCCAACGCTTTCTAGGGTTTGCCAATTATTATAGAAAATTTATTAAAGGTTTCGCCTCTATCACTGCACCTATCACTGCCATGACCAAAAAGGGGCGAAATTCTAATGAATGGAATCTCGAGGCCAAGGAAGCTTTTGAAAGACTTAAATTAGCCTTTTCTTCTGCACCGGTGTTGAGGCATCCCAATCCCTCTCGTCCATTTATATTAGAGGTGGATGCATCTGAAACCGGTATTGGAGCCGTACTGTCTCAACGTCCATCTGATGATCAACCATTGCATCCCTGTGGATTTTTTTCTAAGAAATTAACTGAGACAGAAAAGAGATATGACATTGGGGACAGGGAGTTACTGGCTATTATCTCTGCCCTCAAGGAGTGGCGCCATCTGTTAGAAGGGTCTACCATTCCCATCACCATCCTTACGGATCACAAAAACCTTTCGTATTTTGGAGAAACTAAAAGAATGTCAGATAGACAGATTAGATGGTCTTTATTTTTAACACGATTCAATTACATAGTAACTTACAGACCAGGATCAAAGAACACTAAGGCTGACGCCTTATCCCGTCAATATGAACATTTGTCACCTACAGTAACGCACCTCTCTTCCATAATCCCATCCAACCATATAATCGCAACCGTCCGTGCCAAAATCTCTTCAGGGTTAATGGAGGAGTTATCTAGGTTTCAGGATCAGACCTCATTGACTATTCCCAGGGGAAAACTATACGTACCCCTGTCTTATAGGAAAAAGGTCTTATTCCTTGTACACAGCTCCAAATTAGCAGGACATCCAGGTATTCACAAAACTGAGTCTTTACTCGAAGAACAGTTTTGGTGGCCTTCATACAAGAAGGATGTTCGCGAGTTCATTCTTGCTTGTAGGGTCTGTGCTTCCACAAAATCATCCAAATCTCTTCCTTTGGGCCTCCTTTTGCCATTGTCCATTCCCGATAAACCCTGGACAAGTATTGCAATGGATTTTATAGTAGATCTGCCCTCTTCCAGGAACCATAAGGTTATATTGACTATAATCGACAGATTATCTAAGATGACTCATCTCATCCCACTAATCAAATTACCCTCCTCTTCTGAACTGGCCTCTTTATTTATAAAAGAGGTAGTACGTTTACATGGCATACCTCAAGATATTACATCTGACAGGGGTCCACAGTTCATTTCATGGTTCTGGAGGGCATTTTGTGACCAATTAGGTATTGTCCTTAACCTTTCTTCTTCTTATCATCCCCAATCCAATGGGGTTACGGAAAGGATGAATCAATGCCTGGAACAATACATCCGCTGTTTCATTTCTGAGCACCAAGACGATTGGGTGGAACTACTCCCATGGGCTGAATTCGCCCATAATAATCTAATACACGAATCCACTCAACATAGTCCCTTTTTTATTAATTATGGGTTTAATCCTACTACTTTGCCGAGTTCTTTTTCATCTACAGGAGTGCCTAGTGTTGACAGCACCCTTCACAATATGAAAGAAACTTGGCTAGGGGTTAAACATATCTTAAATCAAAAGACTCAGATT